GAGAGATTGCATCGATATCGAACGGATCTTGTGTCCCGGTAGAGGAAATTCGATAGATCGGAAAATCTATTCAAAAGCTTCTCTCTCGTGTGTAGTCGTTCGCAGAGCAGCGTATATATCTCGGCGCGATCGTGTAATATTACTTGGTAAACGCCAGCGGGCGGACGGACGCGGGAAACTGGCAGAAGAACAAGCGGGTGAACGGAGGGAGGAAAAAGAGAAGAGGGGGAGGTGGGGCGAAAGGGGCGAGGAAATTTGCAAGAAACTATATTTACGGAGTTCGTTCCGGAACATTGACCCGCGGGAGGGAAGTTACACCGTTGGAAGCCGCTGCTCCGGAGGTGTTCCGGGAGACCGCAGCAGTAACGCGGCGGCGGCGATTTTTCTTTTCTGATGTATAAGCAAGAACCTAAAACGCTCCTCTAAACGCGTCCTCGCTACTTGTTCCATGCCCCGACGGCGTCGACGATGGTGCGGAGAGCTTGAGCCTTTTATTTCTGCTGGTTTATTGGATGCCGTGAACGTAAGGACGAAGGATCTAGTTTTTCGTGGGAAGGGACGATGCGGTTTCTTTCCGCTTGGACGAAGGAACGGTCGACGGAGAGAAAGAGAGATAGAGAGAGAGAGAGAGAGAGAGAGAGAGAGAGATCCTTTCCACCTCGACAAAACGGCCACAAAGAATATCGAGCCCTTTCCCCTCCTTCTCCTCACCTATTCGATATGCCGCGGCTCCGACACAGGAAGTCCACTTTGACATTGTTCGTAGACTATCGACTGCGCTCGCAAAAAGTCGTCGCGTTCACCGACAAGCAAAGCCCGAGAGATTTTCGAAAGATCGGTACATGCATCACGGTGATTTCGTAATGTCTCCCTCTTTTGTAAAGCGCGATAGGTTTATGAGGCGAAACAAGTGGAATTTATAGCGAGTGAAATTCTCTCGGGCGGTTTTTCAGATGTTCCCATCAAGGGCAATTAACAGGTCTTCGTTAAATTCTATAGAACGGCCTGAGCGTGCTTTATCGGCCAGATTATATCGGATCTGATTTTCTCTTTTTCGAGTCGTTCGTAGGATTTTTACGATGAACTGACGTTTCGTGCGATTGCACGCATGTTGGCTTTGTTATTTCTTTAAACTTGCAGAGTATGATTTTCTCTCTAGTGGAACTCCATGTTTTTTACTAACTATAAAAATTCATTTTTAAATGATGTACCATGTACATTTCTCTTTAATATATCCTTGAATACGTGAACAGATTTCTAATTCATGTAATAATTTCGATATTATTGGCGTCTTTGTTAATGAAAAATCAGCCATCGATTTATTCTTTCTCTTTATGTATCCGGAAGTATATCGTAGCATGGCTTTTCGCGATTTCGTGAAATCTTCGAATTGTTTTTATCATATTTATTATCAATAACAATAATGCACTACGCGTCATAAACTTTTTATGATTGATCAATTGAATTCTCCACTTCTCGTATCGCATCAAGATTGTTTCTCGCCCGTGAACTCTCAGCGTGGGCGTCGGCGTCGTAAGATGAGAGAAAGAGACGGATCAGGGTAAAAGAAACGGGCGCGAGAGGAAGGAAGAGGGATAGGACGCGGAAAGGTGCGGAAGGGAGAGAGCATTGAAGGAGGTAAATTGCCCCGAGATATTTAATCCCGCGGAAAGGCCGAGGGATCTCTCCTTTATTGGCTCGGCGAGTGAGCAACGACGGGCGAGATAAGTCTCCCCGTCGGATCGATGGCCAATCGCGTTAAGCGATTTTCGCGCCTCGTTATCCTTTGTTTCCATCCGGCGGACGATCGGCCTGCATCTCGTCGACGACGGCACAGCGTCGACGGCGATGCTCCTTCGTCTTCCGTGACGTCGAAAGATCGATCTTATATCGCGCGCGCGTTTCTCTCCTCTTTCTCTCTCTTCCTTTCTTTCCTTCATCGTCTGTACGAAGAATCGCTGACTTTCGCATTCCTCAATGCTAGGGGAAAATTACCCCATGAGGGGTAAACTGCTTCCCGAAGAGAGAAGGAGCGACTTATCCACTCGACTTTCCGATAGTCGACGAGATCGCGCGAAAGCAATTTTCAATTGAGATACACCCCCGTGCAACTTTGTAGGTACTCTAAAAATCACTCGTTTCATCTCGGGGGATGTCACGAATTAATTAGATTTACGAGATAGAGAAAAATTTCCAAAACAGTATCTAGACATATGTACGTACATATATGTGTATATACAGGGTAAGTCATTTTAATCAACGCACGCTATATATATACATTCATATACAGAAAAACTACATTTGATGTCGTTAAAGGTGGCAGTAGAAAAATCTATTCATTAACGGATAGATAATATTTAACAGTCAATATTAATTAAGCTTGTATAATTAAAACTTCTTTTAAATCAATTAAAAATTAGACATAATTTAGTATCTAATATTGAAATCTAATTTTATCCAGAACTGTCTAATTTTCAATATTGAATATTAAAATATAATTGTCTTAGAGATTAGTATCATTTCTATCCTATATAATTCACATTTTCTAAGATATTCTATTATAAATAGATGTTATATCAAAATATAATAATCCAAGTTTATAAAATACGATGAATGCCACACGCTGCTATTAAAATTCCTGTGAAGTAAGAATGAAATGAGAATAGCAGCGATACGGCGCCGCTTCGACATCATTGTCGTCGTCGTTGTCGCCGTCGTCGTTGTCGTCGTCGTCGCCGTCGTCGTCGTCGTCATCATCGTCGTCGCTGTTGCTGTTTTCATCCACCAGTACTGTCGACACGGAGGAGTTTGAATTAAGCTCCATTTTCATAGAGCGCGCGCAGCACGATTGAATTGCCACCCGCTTGGCTTTTCGCGCCAAGTGCTTTCGGAAATTAAGCGACATTGTGTCCTAACGAATGGGATTCATGCGAATGCGGCCTACGTTCTCCTGCCGAACAGTCTGGAAAATTCGCTCACCAAGACTTAAGAATGAAAGGAAAGTGGCAGTATACGCGTAGGTTGTAACCCCGCAAATGCGAAGGGGACCAGAGTCAATTTCAGGGTTCGTTTGCAGCCTTTTTTCAGGAATAATAACAGACGCGACGTAAATTATCCATCTCCTTAGAATTGCTATAAAAATTAACAATTTTAATTCTTTTAATTGAGGAAAGTGGTCACTTCTAAATTTATTCGTCTGCACAAAAAATAGGACCACTCTATTTTTATTTAAAAGAATTTAAAGAGATATCTTATTTATACAAGTTTATAAATGAGTCTATTTAATTATGAAACATTTTGAGATATGCTACTTCTTTATTTCTCCCCTTCTTAAAAGGCTATCAACTATTGCGCATATATATATATATATATATATGAACGTATAAGTATCTCATTGAAATATACCTATATAATGTTAAATATGAATCTTAAAACTCAATTTTATATGTACAAGTTGCATCCATTTGTTATTCACCATTGCTTTTTCCCAAAGATCGTCACGTAGAAAAGTTCTGTTCACCATTTGTCGAAGATATCGTATATCAACTCACCCGCTGACAATTTATTATCATTCCCCGTAAAAAAGAGCGAAGATATACGACGACACGAATTCAGCGAGAAAGAGGGAGGGCGAAAAAATTAATACAAAAGACGCGCAAAAAAAGAGCACAAGTAGGAGTTCGCGTTGGGGCCAAAGGGGCGAATATTCTCCTTCTCGAAGACGAGACGTTATTGCCCCGGTGGTGAGTTCATGGCGGTTAATGGTTTACGGTGGTGGCCACACGGCGGTACCGCCGGTCTCGTACCAAGCAATATCTGGTCAGTCACGTAGACTGACCTCAGCACCGGAGCAATAACGACGCCTCGTGTCTGGACGTTTCTCCGCCGCCGTCGTCCCGTACGTACGATAGAAGAAGGGGGAAGGGAAGAGAAAACGAGCGGAGAAGGTTGTATTTTCCGGTGGCGGTTGCACGGGGAACAGTTTTTTTTTTCTCAGACTTTTCTCCAGGTGGTCTTGGGTGCACTTTGTACAAACGCGAACAAACGAACGAACCTGCGGCTCAATCGTTGAGCGAGATAGATCTTGCTAAAATACGAGCGTATTTGAATCGATTGTCGATCGTTAAAGCTATTATACAAGTTTTACAAAAACTTCGTCATTTATTAAAATTATACTATTGTAAAATCGTTCGAATCATAAGCTAATGTTAAAAAAAATAAGAAATAAAGAAATTTTTTTGTATTATATTTTTTTTTATATA